GGGGGGGGCATGGGGTACAATTCGGCCTACTTATTGAAGCCGAAGTGGAAAAGAACTGACTCACGTAGCTCTCTGTTTCCGACAAGTCGGTTTGAGAAACTGTCCTGGCGGTTTTTCCCTTTTCTTCGCCGCGGGGCGAGGAGATGCAGTCCGACCGGACAGTTTCTCACACCTCTGGCGTGCTCTGCAGGTGAAGCGGCGCGAGGCGTACGACCCCGTGGAGGCGATGCGCGCCATGGAGCGGTACACGCGCGAGGTGGGCGGCTTCTCGTTCCTCTACGCCGACATCTTCATGACCCGCGACGAGTTCGAGGAGATGTTCGACCTGCAGCTCTACGAGGAGGTGCGCCGGCGGTACGGCGCCGAGGGCGCCTTCCCGCACCTCTACGACAAGGTCAAGCCCGAGGTGGACGTGATCGCCATCGGCAAGCAGTACGCCACCAAGTAGTTGTTGTCGTGGATGTTATTGGAGGATGGCTTTGTTTTTTTATGTAAAGTGAACATAACGGACTGTACATGTAGCTCTTCCATTTTATTAACCCGCCAAGGATCGACAGCTACAAGTGATAAAAAAAAATAGTGTTTTATACAAAAATATGGGGATCGCATACCGACAGCCACAAATCACCGCAACTGCTTCGGCGAACTGGCACGCAGTTGCGGCGCTTTGTCGCGCCAAGGGCGGCCCGGGGCTCAGGCGGGGTCCAACGGCGTCCTCGTGGCGTCGTCAGCGTCCTGCTCCTCGTCCCGCCGCTGGCGCCGCCGGTCGCGCTTCCGCCGCCGCTCCGTCAGGAAGGTGGCGTTGTTCTCGAAGTACTCCTCGATCTCCTGCAGCGTGCGGCCCCGCGTCTCGGGCAGCATGACCCACACGAACACGGCCGAGAGCGCAGACGTGGCCGCGAACAGGTACTGCACCCCCGCGGCGCCACCTGGTGGTGCATGAACAGAAGGTAAAGGGGGCGGCAATGCACCTGGCTCGGTTACAAACGGCGAGGGGTCCTTCACTCAAAAAAATCAGTGTACATCCTGAGAAAAAATCACGAAAAATTCATAAAGAATCGTGAAAAAATCACTAAAAAATCATAAAAAATTAAGGAAGAGTCAGAAAACAATCACAAAAAATCAAGAGAGAATCAAATTCGGTGTACGCTACAATTTATATTGAAGGACCCCTCGACACACGGCCCCGAGGAGTCCTTAAATTTAAGCGTGCACCGAGTTTTCTGTTTTTTATTTGTTTTTCCCCTGTTTTTTTTTTTTCTTGATTTTTCCGTGTTTTTTTTCTTTTTTTCATTTCTCCTGATTTTGAACGGATGGTTTTGAGTGAAGAACCCCTCGGACAGTCCCCCTATGGCGCCTGTGGGGTGTGGGGTAGACAGTCCCGCAGCACACAGCCCTCCCTGGCGCCTGTGGAGCGCGGGGTAGGCGGTCCCGCAGCACACAGCCCTCCCTGGCGCCTGTGGAGCGCGGGGT